CAGAAGGTTTAGAAAGAGCAATTGATCATATGTGCAGAAAAACTCGTGATCTTCGTAGACAATTACGAAAGGCTGTAGTGGATCATGTATCTGATAGCTTTTTGGAAACAAGTGTACCTTTATTGGTCCTTATTGAAGCTGCAAGAAATGGCCGTGACAAAGAGGTGGAAGAGTATGCACTTGTCTTTACAGAACATGCCAATAAGCTAGTTGAGGTATATTGTTGAATTAAATACATACGTCTGAAATATTAATTTTATTATGATTGACATAATTAATATATCTATTCAGGTTGCCAATTTAGTATGTAGTATGTCCGGAAACGAAGATGGTGTAAAAATGGTGCGATATGCGGCAGCACAAATTGGAAATTTGTGTCCACAAGTAATTAATGCAGCCCGTGTGCTTGCAGCTCGTAATCGATCTAAAGTAGCTTTAGATAACATGGAAGTATTCAGACAAGCATGGGAGAATCAAGTAAGAGTATTAACAGAAGCTGTTGACGATATTACTACTATTGATGATTTCTTAGCAGTATCTGAGAATCATATCTTAGAAGACGTAAATAAATGTGTATTGGCATTACAAGAAGGTGATGCCGATACTTTAGACAGAACTGCGGGTGCAATCCGTGGACGATCTGCCAGAGTGTGTAACGTTGTTCAAGCAGAAATGGATAATTATGAGCCTTGTATCTATACAAAACGAGTTTTAGAAGCTGTAAAAGTTTTAAGGGAACAAGTGATGCCGAAATTTGCGCAAAGAGTAGAAGTCGCGGTAGATGCATTGGGTAGTAATCCTGCTAAAGATGTGGATGAAAATGATTTTATCGATGCTTCAAGATTGGTATATGATGGTGTTCGTGAAATTAGACGCGCTGTACTGATGAATAGAGTAAGAGAATACAGTGAAATCTTTAATTTCTGTTCTTCCTGACTACATTTATTTCATTTATATATGCTATATTTTAGGCGGATGAGGATTTAGATCCAGAAGATGTGGAACTTGATGAACATTATACATTAGAAACTCGTAGTAAGTCGAGTGCTCAAACTGGTGAACATGGTGTTGATGAATATCCAGAAATTAGCGGAATTACTACAGCCCGTGAAGCTATGCGTAAGATGCCTGAAGAAGATAAACAAAAAATTTTACAGCAAGTAGAGTATTTCAAGAGTGAGAAACTGAAGTTCGATAAAGAAGTTGCCAAATGGGACGATGCAGGGAACGATATTATTGTTCTTGCTAAACATATGTGTATGATTATGATGGAAATGACTGACTTCACAAGAGGTCGTGGACCTTTAAAAACAACTATGGATGTTATCAATGCAGCAAAGAAAATTTCTGAAGCCGGAACTAAATTAGATAAATTAACAAGACAAATAGCAGATCAATGTCCAGAAAGTTCTACTAAAAAAGATCTTTTAGCATACTTACAACGTATAGCATTATATTGTCATCAAATGAATATTACAAGCAAAGTTAAAGCAGATGTACAAAATATTAGCGGAGAATTAATTGTATCTGGACTTGACAGTGCAACTTCTCTCATTCAGGCAGCTAAAAATTTAATGAATGCTGTTGTACTTACTGTTAAGGCTTCATACGTTGCATCGACTAAATATCCTCGACAATCTACAGTAACTGTAAGTACCCTTCTTATATTATTATTACTTGTTCAAATTCTGTACTTTATATTCTAAACAAATGAATTATATTTACAATTTATATGTATAATTAATCTAAGATTTAAAACTTTCTTATTGACTAACTATTGGATTTTATAGTACGTAAGTATTTACGTAACAAAAATATATTTATAGTTTAAAAACTCAATAATATTTTAGAAAACAGTTATTATTGCACTTTAAATTTATAATTAATATTTATTTTATTTATATAGTCTCCAATTGTTGTATGGAAAATGAAAGCGCCAGAAAAGAAACCGTTGGTTCGTCCTGAGAGACCAGAAGAAGTCAGGGCAAAAGTGCGCAAAGGTTCACAGAAAAAAGTGCAAAATCCAATACATGCACTTTCCGAATTTCAGAGTCCTACAGAAAGCGTTTAAGATTTTATGTGTAAGTAATTTAATAAAAATGAAGTCTAGTATATAGCATCACCTTTAAAAAATCATATGAATAAGATGTTTTATTTTCTACCAAGTATAAAATTAAAACACAAAATTTATGTTTATTGTTAATTTATTGTCATGAATTTATAATCTAATCATCGTGGTATAATCAGACAGAGATTCCTCATAGAAAAATAAGTCGAAAATGAAATTTTTGCTTTCTTTTCGAAAAAAATGATTCGTTTTTATGATTGTTAAGACATTTTTTTGCAAATAAAATTGGTAATTTGAGCACTTCTATAATAATTAATTGTATGATAGGATTTATAACGTTAAGTAATAGTTCTAGAATAATACTATTCTTTTTATTATTTGTAAAAAATAAAAATTTAAATTAAACGCATAAAAATATTTTAATAGAATTTTATTAAGTATTATGATAAGCGACTAATATGTATTTACGTACATATAAGCTTATCAGAGACCTTACATTTTTGTTATCAAGGATCAGTCTGGAATTCAAATTTGTTATTATTTTTCTGTTCTATTAATATATGAATCATCCTATTTAACGATTTTATAACCTGTACACGTTTTTATACATATCCAGCAACAAGGTCTCTAATAATAAAAAAAAATTATAAGGCTGTTATTTTAAGTAATGTTAACAACAATTACAGGCCTTGAATTTTTGCTACTATGTTACATGAAGGTCAGTTTCTTATTATAATGAATTTTTTGACAATAATATTGATACTTTACTGCTTTTACAAAACCAATTAAGATACAAATAGTAATATTAGCATCTTTCCAAGTGGCAATTATATCAATAATTACAAATAATTAATATGAAAGTATAAGAATTCATTTATATAAATACTTTTAATGTAACAAACTATATTTTTTCTATACGTAAATTTTTTACCTATATAATTTGCTTTACATATATATTTTAACATATCTTATATTTCTTTAGAAAATTTTATTAAAAGTTATACTTTTTCTACTTTTTGTTGTTCAATATTATATTCATAATTAGGTGGGAAAATGTATTATCGTGTGTCAACAAAACTTGCATAAAAGCAATATAAATAAGACAGTATTGCATTGGAAATAAAGAGACTGCAGATCAAAGTATTTAATGATTGTATATAAGTAAATATGATTATACATTTTTAAAGTCTTCTTTATGATGATTTTATATTACTTATAGTATATAAGAAATAATTGTAAAAAAAAAACTGATACCAATTTCATATCTTATATGATGAGTAACGTATTATAAAGAAAAAAATTATTTACAAATTAGCAAATATTAAATGATTCTTGAATTATTATGAAAATAACATGTTATATGTGTGACAAATGCATAAAAAAAATATAAAATTGTGCTTCATGATATATATTATTTCATTTATATTAATATAGTTATTATAATAAATGTTGCATTGGAATAGGGTTTGCAAAATATATGGAGTAAAATCATTTCACATTTCATAGCTTTTAATACAATATGTATTGGTATCAATTTTTTACTGTTGTAAAACTGATACTAATTTATATAGAAATAATTGTAAGATTAAATTGTAGTTATATATACTGATATGCTGCCAAATACAAGGTGATGCTTTTAACAAATGTTTCTTTTTTACTATTATTATGTTATGCATTATATTTACAAATAAATTATTTATCCCATATATAATTTTATTAAGAGAAAGATAATTATCATTATTATACACTAATAGGAAAGGACATTACAAATACAATACATAAATTTGTTTTATATGTAATTCATTTATGTACTAAGTATTACAGAAATAATAATACAATACAGAAAATTGCAAATGCAAATGATTAATGGCAATAATATAATAATTCACACTTGTTTAAACAATATATGTAATTACTTTTATCCTAATTTGCTACACATTATTTTTATAGTTATATTTACAGAAGAAAATATTTATCGCTAGAAAAAAGTTTACCTGTATTTTTTTATATTTAAAACTTTTTGTTTTTTTTTTTGTTTTATCTCAACATAAAATTGGAAAATATTATACATTGCCCAACTATGTAAATTAAAAGAACATAAAACAGTATTTGTGCTTGTTGATCTAAATGTTCAAGTTATATATATCGCTGCATTAACAAGTTTTTTTCTTTATTATTTTTAGAGTATTTTTCATCGTACATAATATATGAGATAATTATAACTGCTTACTTTTTAAAACTTAAATTACCTTATTATAATATTAGTATGATTATAATTAGTACACACCAAATAAATACAGGTACTATTGAAATAATTCATAAAGAACGTGATATTTATTTTTACGGATATTATTTAAATTCGAGACAATTTAAGTATTGGAAAACACGAAGTATTATGCAATGATACTTTATATAGTAGTTACATTGTAACCGGATGAGTTTTTTAAATATTTTTCTACTGCTAAAATACAGCTTTTTATGGATATATATGACATGCTACTAAAAATATTAATAATATGACATAAATATTGCATGTCATTAGAATTGACACAGATTTAATGACTACAAGATATATATGACTATTAGTAATGCTTTATACTTACATTTTTTAAAAATTTTATTGCAAAAAGTAAAATTATATAAACTAAATAGATGCTTTTAATTGGTATATTTTATCGATATTATTTAACAAATTGATAAAGAATAATTAAATATACATCAGATCTTGTTAAACAAATAGACTTAAATCTAAAAGACAGTCTCTTTTCATACTAAGATAAATTTAAAAATTAAAAGAAGTTGCCTAAATTTATTATTAATTGTTCCATATGATTAATTCACTACTAAATTTGAATCTTTCAAATAAATCCACAAATACCTATTTTTAACTCTACTTTTAACTGAATATGTTATTCTTTTTTTCTTGCAATTTTTTAACTTTTATTTATTTTTTTTTTTTTTT